GAAGTACTCTAAATCACTTTCTCTGCTCATAAGCTTTTTATTTTCAAGTTTTAAAGCTGAGCAGGAGACAATCCTGGGATGAACAGCCCATCTGAGCCCATATTTCCATTTACAGATTCGTTAGAAATGGCTTTAAATGGAACTAAGTGGTGATAATGACGCTTTCCGACGAGAACATGTACATTCACAAAGAAACGAGGAGTTATCAGAGCCGTCATCCTTTAACCTGAGCGTTACCATCAGTGCTGGTCTGAATATGCAGGAGAGCATCAGAGTTTACGCTCTGAACCAAAGTGAGGATCACAGGCTGGAGAGTCGTCTTGACCTCAGTGAGTGGAAACGGATCAAACTCACGTCTCACTTCCTGTCTCGTCTCGCCGCAGCGCTTCAACGTTCTGGCCGAACAGAAGGAGATGTTGCTGTCCTACGTGTCCTACGCGGCCCAGAGTCCAGGACAGGTACAGTCTGATGATGGCGTTCCTCATGGATGTTAGCTTTCAAGTATTTGTGTTTTACTTTTGTTTGCTCATTTTGGGATTTTTTTATATGTATAAAACAGCATGGATATCAAAGCTTCAAAAAAAAAAACTAGGTTTCAGAGAATATTCTTTATTTTTTAGAAGTTCATACATGCTACAGAGTTGAAATGACCTTTGACCGTTCTCTAAAAATCAAAAGCTAAATTTAGCGTTTTGTTGTTTATTGGTAGAACAATGAGTGAGTATCACTCACATATTATCCATATGAGTGAAAATATGGATACTATGTAACACTGTTCAGGTGTCAACAATGTTGTTAAAAAAAACTGAGCCTGGAAAAGTAATAATTGTGCAGGAACTGTGTATTTTGTTCAATAAATCCCCTTCATTCCCAAATCCCAGATTCCATAATATTCCATTATAATATGATTTTGAGTGTTCATACTCTTCAAACTATTTTCAGCCTTAAAAAGCAAAGAAATTCTCCTAAAATGCTTTTCTTTTTCCAAGGATACTTAAGAGATGCTAAACTGATGAAATGGTCCAAATGGACCTTAAACATCTCAGAATCACATCTGTCATTCTGAGCAAAATCTTAGGCATAAATCTTATAATTGCTATTTAAAGTAAGATTTTCACATCCAGTTCTTCCAGGTACAAGTAAAATTCAAGATATAGAATGAAAATACAGTAATGTAACTTGGAAAAGCAAATTTTGGTTGATGTATTCTATTTTTTATTTTTATTATTTTTTTACTGTTGGAAGCAGAAAAAGTGGCGTGAACGAGTCATGGCTCATTTTGTAAATGCAATCTTTCCGTTTGCAGGCCAGTAAGATCAAGAACCTGCTGAGTCTGGTTCCGGACTTTGCAGAGAAGAAGTTTGTGTACTCGTACCTGATGAAGTGTCACGGTAAGACCAGGTGAACGGGGTCAGGCACAAGTTCAGTGTTTAAAACGCAGCTAATCAGTTAGCCCTATGGTTAGCTTAGCATGCTAAATTAAACATGTGCTAACCTCTTCCCCCACATATTTCCTTTTCCTCTGTCATTTCCCATAACTTTACAAATTTACATATATAATATGTATATTTTTAGATGTTTTTATATTCCTCATTTTGGAGGAAAGTTCCCCATAGCATCTTCCACATCTTAGAGGAATCGGTGATGTGTAGCAAACTCATGTGAGGCGTCCACAGGTAGTTCTGCCGCTTGAGCCTTTTCGCATTTTGCCACATTACAAATAAAGAAAATACGATTTTAATTTTAATTTTGACCAACAAAAAATGTAAAAGCAGCGGCACTAATTTCTGCTCATCTCCTCGAGTCTGTATTTCATAGAGCCACCATTCGTTGCTCGTCTTCTGCGGAATCCGTTCCAATTTATGTTTAAACTAAAAGTTTTGCTTTCTTGCAAAAATTATGTCTTGCCACATATGCTTAGTTGAGGCCTGGACTTTGACTAGGCCATTCAAATGCATAAATGAATGTAATGTTAAGGGTTGTCATCTCTGGGTGAAAGAAAAACTAAATCGTTTCTATTTGCTTACATCTTTTGTCATGTTTTACTTCTATTAGCCAACTTCCTTCTCATCTGTCTGTTTCTCCCTCCGCCTCACTCTCTCTCTCTTTCATTTGGCAGCTCTGGATAAAGACCTGCGGTCGGCCAAGGCTCTGTACGAACAGATGCAGAGTGAGGGCGTCGTCCCCGACGATCTGTTCCTCAAACGGCTGGCTGTGCTCTACCGCGAGGAGGGAGAGACCGCGCCCTTCCCCGAGCCCCCCGTGAGTGAACAAGGAGCTGATCCAAACCAGAACAGCAAAACATGGGACATGTTTGATTCAAACAAAAGAAAAACAATCAAACTGTTTGCATGAATTGCCTCTGATTTCATTTATGAGGGCAGGGGGAAATAACCTGCAGATGTGGAGTTTAGGGGATAGAATAGAGAGCTAGAAGAGCTTTGCAGCTCACTTTTACTTCTGTTTAACCGCTGATTCTCGTGAACATTTTCGGAAACGCGCCTCGAATAGCTTCGAGCCGGGGCCCGCTCCTGTAACGTGAAGAAGCAGACCTGCAGCTGGCGGTCGCCGCGCCACACAGAAATAGACGTTTCAGCAGCATTTGATGTGTGGACCCAAGAGCCGCCGACTCTTACCTCCCCATCACTCACCTGCAGCACCAAGATAGAAGGAGAAAGAGATGAAGGTGGAGGAGCTGCTGCATAATTCAGAGTGTCAGCGTAGCTAAGAGAGGCCTGGCTGTATAAGCACAGGAGACGGGGAGAGTGGCAAGGAGAGGGAAAGGTGAATATTTATACTCTTTAGAAGTTTCTACAAATAGGTAAAAAAAAAACAAAAGAAACCCTCCTCTATAACTTCTCCGTATCAAGGTTTGAGTAACTTGTCTTCTGTTGTGGAAAAAACCCGACCAAAAGCAAACAATGATTTGCTATAAGTTTCTGAAACTCTGCCAAGATCACTCTCTCTGTTTACATCCAGCGCAGCCGTTTATCAGCATTAATTACCGCATTAGCGAGCGAAGGCGCCGTTGTTGGGAGCAGCCATAATCTGCAGAAAAACGCTCACCTTCGTTCCCCCGACTGCTGTAAAAAAATAAAAAAAACACAACACTCTGTTTGGATCAAAACACTGATTAATTATCCAGGAACAAGAGGCAAAAGAACGGAAGTGTGCGTTTGGGGAGCGAGCTACAAATCCCTGATTTGTGTATTAATGGGGATTTAAAGATGAAACGAGACAACCTGGTTGGAGGCTGGAGGCTGTTCAGTCCGACCCAGGAGGGCCACACCGCCTTCTTTATCAAAGATGCAAAAAAAATCGAAACAAAAACACTCTGCTTATTTTTTGTGATTATTCACTCGTCTGACTTTATTTCTCTTTTTACCTTTTCCAGGAGACCTTCAAGTTTTACGCAGAGAAATTGAGAAAGGAAGCCTCTGCCAAGGAATAGCGTCACCGCCGTCTTCCCGTACCGCGGAACCAATCCCACCATTTAGTTGTCTTTTTTTTTTCTTGTTTTTCTTTTTTATAAGTTGTTGGAAAAAAAAAACTGTGGAAAAATGTGTTGCAACTGTTTTAGCCTCTGTCTGCTGTCATGACTTTAAGGTTAATTAAAATGTTGAATGTACAGAAGTATTTATGCTAATAAATGATGAGGGGTGAATTGAGTCTGTTTTGGAATGGATTTTTTTACTTTTATAACTTTTGTTTTTTGGTCTGGCTCAGTGGAAAACACTGAAGATTTTTACACATTTCTGTGTATTTAACCTACGAACTGAAGTTGAGGTCACAAAACTTGCAAAACCTTTTTAAAATATGATCTGATATAAATATATAGATTTGTATCTAAGAATATTTGAGTAAATATATTTCAATAGCTGCAATTAACAAAATTCTCAGCACGACTGCGACACCCCGTCCATTCCACACATACAAAGAAATTTAACTGTTTCTCTCCATAAAGTATATAAAAAAAATTAAATGGACTAACTGGAGAAAAAATTAAATGTATTGAGAGAGTGAAGAGAATTATTAATCCAAGAGAAAAGAACTTTTGGAAATCTTCATGAAGATCTGGACTCAACCCAGCTGTGTTCTCACTCACCACGCAAGACTCCACTGCTGAAGGAAACTCATGTTGACGTTACTTTTAAGTTTCCTAAACCGTTAAACAAGATTTTGAAAATGCTGGGAGAATATAGATTGGTCAGATTAACCCAAAAATTAATTATTCATGGATGTTAGTACTTTTTCCATACTCAAGAGCTTAGAGTCTTTTACGTTCTTTTATTAGACACATTTTTTTTTTGTCTATAAACACACAGCTGACATGTTTGGACAGCGTGCTTCCATCTTTGCCCAACTTGTCACTAGGTGCCATAAACAGCTGATTTCGACACGTCACCCAGTAACACCTCAGCTTTTGTCCGACACCAGAAACACAAATTAAAGTCCCTGTTGATTCTCAGTTCTTTATTTAACTGAATATTTTTTGAAGTGTTCCTCTGGCTGATCCGTTTTAGCTCAAGCTAACAAAAAGTTGGTGCCTCTTTGGGACGCTGTCTGCTGCAAGAGGCTACAGGACTGTCTGCATCAGGAAATTCCTGACAAATTCATAAACAAATTACCTTGTGTGTTGTTTTTATAATTCTCAGAGCTTCTAAAAGTTTGGAAAACGTCCTGCTTTCGATGACCTTTCTTCACCTCTCTTTGCCGGACTGACTGAAGCCGCCTCGCGCACTCTGACCCGTCTTCTCTCTGCTCGGCCCTCTTTGCTCCGCCCTCGCATATTTTAGTTTCACGTCATTTAAGTTGTTGGTGCTATCAAAGGGCAGGCGTTAGATAACACAACCTGCTGTTTCCAGAGAAGATCTTGGGCTGCTTGATGTCATTAAGAGCAAATGTAAAAAAAAAAATCGTTACCTAATGTCATCCAGGACATCTTTTAAGAGGATAGATGCTGCAGATGTTTCCCCACACAAATATACACACACACACACTTCAGTTGAGCAATTTGATTTAATTCTTAATTTGGACTCAAACTGCAGTTGTTGGCTTAACATTCAACTTTTTAGCCTTTGCACCAGTGCAAAAGCGTACATATTACATAACTACACAAAACTTACAAGTTTTTAGGGTGACTTGAGGAAATCTACGCTAGACAAGCTTTTATTGCCCTACATATCGACACGCATTGTTACAGTAAGCTTAAAAAGCTCCCATAAACAAAAAAAACAAAACCAAAACAAACAAAGCTGTTTTAGAAAATGAAACAAGCAAAAGCTGCAGATGGGATATCTGCCAAGGTAGCGCTCCAGAAGGGGAGGAAAAGCAAAAGTAAATCTGGATGTCGTTGCGGTACTCTGCTGCCATCCAGCAGCACACAGTGGTACAGAAACAACTCGTTTATCTCACAGCAGGAAGCAGAAACAGAAGCTGCTCGAATAACCATACAGGATTATCCAAATCCAAGATTTCAAACACTGTTCTGAAAATTTCAAAGCAAAACTTTTTCCTCTCAACGTTAGCACCCAGACATGAAACAATAACAGCATAACCCTGAATGTTCTGTGTCGAACCAGTCGAACATCTGTCTACTTTCACAAAAAAAAAAATCCTATGTGGAGTAAGTGGGGGAAAAAAAAGTGTGACGTCTCTGTTTTCACCAGTCCTGGCTGGACTTCTGCTTGATGAATTTCAGGCAGACGTAATAGAGCACCATGAAGCCGAAGCACACGGCCACCAGCACCAGGTAGCAGGAGAACAGGGGGTACTGGTTCAGTTTCATGGCCTCCACCACCTGCAGGACAAACACACGACTTCATCCACTTATTCTGAACTTTCAAAGCTCATCGTCGTCTGTCTGCTAAGAGGCTTTGATTGTAAATGCAGCGGTGGGCACTTATCGTATCGTTTATCACTTATCGTGACAATTTAGATTTATCGTTATGACAAATCTGAATTTTTGACTTTAAGAGTTTTCTACTCTGCTCAATAAAAGTATAGATAAATATTAATTAATTTGTAAATATGATTAAATGCAGTTACTGTGAACAGTTTAGTGACTCGGATCACTCCTTTATGCGACTGGAATCCTGAAGAATCGTTTTACGATGGGAGTGTTTTTCAAGAGCAGCGTTTGTTTGTGGGGCGTCGAATGATGCGTCATGCCATCACTGCCATACAGTTACTTAAAAGAAAAGTAATAAACAGTTATTATTGTCACTTTTGTGACAATAAGAACTGTTTCGGTCCGTTTCAGCCAGCCCTATGAGTCTGAGTCAGCAGTTTTGCTCCAAAGCTGTAAATTCAAATTCAAAAATACTTTATTGATCCCAAAGGGAAATAAAACGTTGTTGTAACTCGTGTTAATTCAAATTTGTCAAAGAGTTATTGTAGGCAGCGACGGTTGTTGGCAGGAAATATGTCCTGTAGAGGTCTGTGTTACAGTCAATTTGAAGCAGCCTCTGACTGAAGACATTGTTTTCCCAAGACGGTCTCCACGAAAAGGACGGTGGGGGTTGTCCATAATTTTCTTTGCATCGTCATCTTAAGCGCACAGTTTGAATGCGGCGGCGTTCCCACTCACATGTATCCCATCAATGTTGAAGGTGAAGTTTCCTATGGTGACCGGGTACTTATTGCCCCTGAACTGCACCTGCAGCATCCCATCGAAGCCCCAACGCATGAACGAGGCGTACGAGAGCCACGAGGCCACTGGAGAGGAGAAACAAACATCATCGCACACATTTCATCACGTAAACATCCCGACACGACAACGATTCTGCCGCCTCTTCCTCACCCAGCCACATGTTCTCCAGGCTGATGACGAAGCCTCCGGTCAGGTAGAAGACGGTGAACAAGGCGTTGCCCATGAAGGCGGACGTCTGCAGGGTGGGCAACGCGGCGGCCACAAACAGAGCCATGGCTCGGCTGCCGTAGACCATCAGCCACACCAGCAGAAAGAAGAGCAGGAAGCGGTCCGGAGCCTGGTTAAGACCCGCTAACCAGTAGATGGGCAAACCGTAGACCAGGGTAAACACACAGTGCTCTGGCAGCTCCCCCAGCACCTGGAGGACAGCAGACAGTCTGTTCAGTAAATACATACAATACTCTGAAAGGTAGGGGATAATATGTATATATACACATGGACACATGGAAGTGTTGATCCTGGCTCGGGTACAGTAGCTCTCGTTTCACATTCCAGCACTGCAACGGGATGAAGCGCTCGTGGAGCAACAGTGACCCCTGCAGGAGAGAGGGGGCATCTCTTCACGGCTGCGTGAGGTTTACCTTGGCAAAGAAGTACGAGGTAACGGAGTACATGCCGTCCTCCAGCTCGTGGTACAGCATGGCCCGCTCTGTGTGACCTGCAGGGAGTCACTCAGTCAGGCTACAGGTCAGAGTTTCAAGTTTTGTTTTTTTTTTCTTCGTTTTAAACTAGATTAAGATATGAATTAATCCCACTCATGATGTATTCAAATAAACACTATGTCTGCTTATGTCTTCTCCCGAAGACATAAGCAAATGTGATTTTTTAAAAATATATTTAGTATCAGTTATTTGTTTTGTTTACTATTCTTCAGTTTTCTTTCTTGTTCTGGCCGATTAGTGAGATGAGATGGCGGGTCTGGTTGAGATGTTAGATGTTTCTATGTAAGTGTGAACAAAAGTGGAAGCAGATTGTTTTGTTTTTTTGTTTGATTTTTTTTAACCATGGTTAAATTACACCAGGAGCTAAAAGGGAGAAGATTTCCACCAAATTTTTCTAAAATTAATTAAGTTTTAAACTGCCTTCCTAGCTCTTCTATTCCTTTCAGTTGAAAAATTGTAAAGTAATAATTTGAGAAATAAAGGCGGTCTAGGATAAGTTTTCATAAAAGTGATGAGTCTTTTAAAAAATTTCATTAATTTTATCTTTAAAAATTCTTGTCAAAAAGTGGCAATGATTACTTTAAGCGGTTCAAAAATCAATATTATTGTTTAACTTGATTTCTGAGCTTTAAGAAAACATTTTTTATAGAAAACATGTTGCTTATCTCGGAAAGACGCCTCTCTGTGTTGTTTGTGTAAACAAGTAAATTTGCTAAACATTGAATAAAAGTTTTCAGTTCTGTGAAATGATAATAATCCCACTATTGTTTAATTGCATCACATCAGAAAAATTAGATAAATTAAACATCAACCCCAGAATTTAATAATTAGCTAATTATAGTAAGTTTTCATTCATCAAAGCAGGAAAAAAAATGCCAATTTAAAATCACAAAGTTGTTTTCAACAATCTTCAAGGCAAAGATCTATTAGTAAGATTTCTGGGTAGATTGTGAAGAAAAATTAAGGAATGCTGCTGAAAGTAAAAGCAATAAACATTCCCTCTGTCTTTATTAAACTGAAAGTTTTTCTTGTAACATTTTGTGCTTTAAAACACTAAAATAAAACCGTTTAAACCCAAGACCACCCAGCTTCCTGTCGCTTTTAGCGCATCATTTGAAAGGTGAAATGTGACTTTACGTTTTAAGTGAGGGATCCACATGCTTGCTTACATTTAGCTATGACGTCCAGCACCACAGCGAACGGCGTGAGGGCCCCGATCATGTAGAGGAGGGCCACCGTGTCCTGAATGTTCAGCCGCTCCTCTCCGGCCCCGTAGTACAAACATCCGACCAGCAGGGACATGAGCAGGGACTCGAAGCCTCGGACCAACAGGGACACCAGGTCTCTGAAGTCGTTGTACATGTGGCGCCTGAGGGTAGAGCGGCGGTTAGTGTCTGGTTGTTCCCCTTTCCCCCTCCCCTCCTCCTCCCGGGGATTCTGGGATGCGTCGCCTCACCTGATGAGGGTGGTAAACTGCTGCAGCTCACCGGGCAGCTCGTTACGATCTCTGGAAATATTAACCACTTCTTCTCTGTGTCTGCTCGGCTGCTGAGCGCTGCAGAGGACACCAAGGTTATGTTGGAAAGACATCCATCTTTTAAAGCCTTAAAACACGTCCGGGGAGCAGCAGCGGTTTCTGGTAGGGGCGAAGTGGGCAGACGCCCAAGGCGGCTTCTCCTGCAGGGCGGCATCAGCTGCCACACTAATACACAGTTTTGCAGTTAAATCTGTACCTTATTGAGAAGTAATTATTGTACAAAGCACGGGACTTTTTTTATAACGGTTGTGCAAATGAATATGTGTTGAAGTACAGCAGTGTAAACTGTCTTCTTTAAAAGTACAATATAGATGTTAATTTGACAGTCGAGCAGTGAAATTTGCCTTGATCAAAATGCAACTGTAGTACAAATAATGATGTAAACGTTTGACTGACGACGCAATTTATTTTACTTGTATTTATTTTCTACCGTATTTATTGTTTTGTATTTGTATTGTGTACTTTTTAACTGCATTGCATACGGCATGTTTGTGCCTTGCTATGTGTGTTTAAAGTATCATTCTTCTTTCTCTCACATGTTTTGAAATGTAAATATTAAAATAAATTTTGAGTGTATCCATGGCGATGCATGGTGATCTACATGATGTCGTGGTGGAGCACGCAGGCCCAGGGCACCAATCAAGTTAGGACCAGCCCTGCCAAAGAGAACTGCTACCACAAAGCTGGTTCTGACTCGAAACGCCGGGGAGGACAAATAGAAAATAATAAATGCAGAATGACCCAGAGTTTGTTCCGTTAAGCTACAGCCCTACGTTTCCCAGATAAAAGCGTGCCTACCTCTCTATGTACGCAGCGCTGGTTTCAGCTGGTTTCCACATGTGGTCGTCGATGTCTTGAACCTTTTCCTTGAACTGCTCGGACAAAAGTCTGGACCGCTCCAAACACTCGGCCTCACGCTCAGGACTGCGCCGGTCGATACTGATCAGATCAACTGGACAAAAACAGACCCATTGGAAATATTCCCACTACATTTCTGATTACAAGTTATGATAAAAAAATTTTTTTAAAAAGCCCAACGAGTGAAGTTTTGACGCTCAGACTGACCATAGAAGTCGGAGGGGTTGCAGTACCGTGGGCAGGGGTGCCCAAGAGCGGTGAAGTAAGGAACCATGTCGCGCGCTGCACCGAAGTAGACGGCCGAGCCAGAAGAAAGCAGGACGACGAGGTCAAAGAGCTGGAAGATGTCTGACCGAGGCTGGTGGACCGACAGCAGGATCAGGCGGTTCCCCTTGGCGAGGCGGGACAGGGTTATGACCAGGTTGTGGGCCGTGAAACTGTCCAGACCCGAGGTGGGCTCATCCAGGATTAAAATACCTGAACGAAAAAAGAAATGCAATCAGTGTCTGTAAAAAGTGGCACCACTCTGTTGGTTTGTGTCCCTTTTTTTCCTGGGTTTCAGGAAGGGTCTTAAAGAGGCAGTAGCTCAGGGCTAAAAGCTTTGGGGGCGTTAAAATATTTTTTTTTCATGAATGGATGTTTCTTTTTTTTTTTTAAGCTTCCAAAGAAAACTTTTAAGATCACATCCCTCTGCAGTGACCGTTAGTGCAGATACAAGATACATTTATTTGAGTATGACAACAAGGTCTTAGCCTCGCCTCTACCCTGACCCTTGACCCTAAAGGGGAACCCTCAGTAACCTTTAAGTCTACACTACCCACCACCTGCAGCCCTAACAACAACAACAAATCTTCACACTTCGTCAGTAAATAATTACAAATTTAACAAAAGTGTTTTACATCTCAATTATTTACACTAACTTAATTTAGTTTTAATAAACGGACTTTTTCAAAGTGAACATATGAAGTCAAAACACAGCAGCACTTTCACCAGTTTGATGTTTTATCAACATATTTAATATGTATAGACTGTGTTTATCTGGGGAAAAAAACTCTTACTGCTGAAGTAACTTATGCCTGAAATATTGAATGTAGCTCTTGAAACTAAAATTTTATTTTGAGAGAGAGAGAAAAAAAAAAGATAAACTCTGGTCTATTAACATCAGTTTGAATCCTTGGAAAGTGTTTCCACTGTGAAGTAAAAGTCACAGCCTGTAAACCCTCTGTAAACACACAGAAAAATAAATGCCGGCTGAAACAATGTCTACTGCAGCAAAATTTAATAAGAAGAAGAAAGAAAGAAAAAAAAGAGACATTTTTGTGCTTTAAATAAAGGTTAAACAGAAAACCAGAGCGTTTAATAAGATGTTTAAGGTTTGGTTTCTCTCACCAGGGTTCCAGAGAAGCTGAACAGCGATACTGACTCTCCTCCTCTCTCCTCCAGAAACCCCCCTCACGTAGTCGTTCCCCACCCTGGTGTGCGCACACTGCCGCAGCCGCAGCTCTGCAATGACATCATCCACCTGCCGCAGCAGGAGTCACAGTTTCCTCATTAGACACGGCCCGCCTTCCCCGTCACGTACTTCAGGTGAAGACGTGAAGCGACCCGGCTCACCCTCTGGTCCCTCTGGGCCTGAGAGAAGTGGGAGGGGAGTCTCAGCTTGGCCACGAAGCAGAGGGTCTCCCGCACGGTGAGGTGAGGGAGGAGCCGGTCGTCCTGGCGAACGTGAGCGATGCTCTTCTTCACCAGCTGCGGCGTGTTGGGCTTCCCGTTAATCAGGACGTGACCGGAGGTCATTCTGCCGCCCTCGTCCCGGCAAGTTATGATGTCCAGCAGGGAGGTCTTCCCACAGCCTTGGAGGGGAGGAAGTGTGTGAAACACGCCGCAGTAAGAGCGCAGAAAGGAAATATGCTACTCAAAACCTTCAACTGGGGTTAAGCTAGAAAAAAAAGTTGTTGCCAAAGTATCTTTGACTGCATTTCTTACATAATGAGTTTTTTTTTTTGTTTTTTCCCCCCATCTCACGACAAACTTTAATGTGTTTTATTTGGATTTTGTGTGACCGGCCAACAGACAGTAGCTCATAACTGTGAAGTGAAAGAAAAAGGAGCTGTGTCTTTCTACTTTTTTTTTTTTTTTTTATTTTACAGTTGAAAATCTGAAAAGTGTGGCATGGATTTGCAGTCAGCTACCGTGACTCGATACTTCTTAGAACCACCTTTGCTACAATTAATCCTGTAAATTATTTTTGGGTTTCTTCCTACTTGATAAGCACGTCCAGAGGCTGATCAACATTCTAGATACAATATTTTCTTCTTTTTTTCCCCAATTAAAGTCTAAAACCTGACGTTTTCTCTGTTCTCTGCAAAGTAGCTCAGGCTCAGTCAGATTGCACAGAAAGTGTTTGTGAACATCAGATTTAAGATTCTCAACTGGATTTATATCTGAACTTTAACTGGGAAACAAAAACTCTGCCCCATTCCTTCCATTTCCAGGATTGCCCCATATTTAACTCCACTTCAAAAAAAGAAAAAAAACATGTCTTATTTTTACACCATTTCATAATTATGAAGTACTTTGTGTTGGTCTATCATTAAAATCTCAATAAAACACACTGACGGGTACAAAACCTGAGATATGCACAGCACAGTTAAGTACAATTTTTTTTTTCTAATGTGACTGACTAATAGAAATGAAAACAAATTAAATGTAGTTGTTTTTTTAAGCATAGAAAAATACCAATAAATCACATTAAAAATTACATGGACTGATGACTTTTTTTTAATGATTTTTATTTTTTTGTTTATTCACCAACTTTTGAAACGCAGAACAGGATAACTCCAGGTGAAGAAAATTTAGTTCAAACAAGATCATTAAATCAGAAAGAGAAAGAAACTACAAAGTGTAATTTAAGCAGCTTGTGTTTCTAATTAATAACCTGCTACACTACATGGTGCCTCAGGGTTGCAGCTCTGGCAGAAAGGCGGAATAAACAACAAAAAGGCCTTGCAGTCTGTGCTGCAGTTAGAAAAATGATTTCAAATCCCAGCGTGTCGCTGCCTCACCTGAGCTGCCGATGACCGCCAGCATCTGACCGCTGCGGACTCGCAGGCTCAGGTTGTTGATGGCCGTCTGCTTGTTCCCTTTCACCTCCCACGGCAACTTGAACTCGGACAATTTCTCATACCAGGGAATCTGAGCCGATGTGTCCACCTGGACAAGAAAAAAAAAAAACAACAACAACAAAACAAAGCAAGGATTTAGACATATTCAAGAGCCCAGACGACATGCATCGATGAAAAGGTGAAAACGGTTTAAGAAGCGAACCTCGTAGTGCAAGTTGGTGACTTCCAGCTCATTGCACTCTCCGCTGTAGGTGAAGTAGAGACTGCTGTCCTCTTCAGACGAGAACAACTCTGTGTCCGTGTGCTGTCACAAAGCAGGCAACTCACGTTAACCCACAGATTCGCACACATATGTAAATATAAATATACATTTTTTAAATCTATGCCACTAGTGTGTAAAGAAGCAGACACGACTCTTTAAATTTCACTTTCCCTAGTTTTCCTTGTTTATTTTTTTTGCAAAATTTCAATCGTCTAAATAGATTTCTATTTCATCTTCTCAATGTTTCTCAACTTATACGTGCAAAGATCAGTTCCTGTTGTTTAATTAAAATCTGACAGCCTTCTAGCTGTTGTGCGTTTCAGCTTGAGTACGGTACACATATTCTGTGTGCTTTTCGCATGCATCTGTTTGTGTCTTTGTGTAAATAGTTGCTAAAGGCCTCCTGTGGGCCAGAAGTCAACCTACCAATATTTAAGCCGTTTATAATCAAGTGTTGAATAGTAAATAGAGAACTGCAAAGATCTGAACAATATGTGACGTTTGAGCAGATAACCAGAGCTTCCAGGCCCAGAGGATTCAAGTAGATTGTTGATTAATAATTCAAACAAAATAAAGCTAAAGGTGCTCTTACTTAAAACACTTTTGATCAATAGTTAGAAGGAAACCAAACCGAATAGGATTGGGAAGTAAATCAACATCAAATTTGGGATTAAATTTAATTTTAAGAGAAAGATTGGATTTTGCTGTCCTGACTGACCTGTGAAAAGCTGTTTATGTGTCTCAGGCCGATTTCTGTGTCCATGATGAAGCAAGCTTAGCTTTTCTTTTTTTTTCCTGTTAAACTCCAGTCCAGCTGAAGATCTCCTCTGAAAGCTCCTTCTTTCTCAAGTCATCCAAGTTCATGTCGTGTCAGTGCTTCGGCCGCTTCGTCCCGCAACTTATTGCTTTCGTGTTAGTAGCTTCATGATGTGAGATCTGTGGAGTGACTTGGAGTCTGTGGATGGACTTAACCTCTCTGAGTTTTTTTTTTGTTTTTTTCCTCCCCCTTTTTTTGCACAACTCCAGATCAAAGTTCTCAGAGATAACAGGCATTAACCGTTTTTTTTTTTTTTATGGTTCCGAGGGACACCACTGACACAGCTGCACAGAAACACAGTCAGGGCTATTAACAGATCGATGTCCGGTTGTCGTCTCGGAGCCGGAGTTGGATCGGAGACATGAACCGATTTTATTCCCTGGAGGCGGCAGAGCCACGAAATGAGACGGAAGCCGAAGGGTCGTTCAAGTTCGTGTCCGAGGCGAAGAGGGATGTGTGGAGGGAAGGCGGCGGAGAGGGGAGGTCGGAGCCGTCCTGTTGTCTCGGTGTCAGAAACATTTCCTACACTGTCAGGTAAACGCTGCATGCAGACGGTTTTTTGCGTTTGGACAAAAAAAAAAAAAAAACAGAATATGTGCAGGTTCTTTCAGATTAAAATCACAAGAATAATTTTCCCAAATTTTATAAACAGCAGACAAATTGTAGTGTTAGCCTGTGGCTCATGCATGTCTCTATGTGTTTACTTTAGTGAGCGTGTTGGACAGTGGTGGGACTTGCCCTCCTGCAGGAAGAGATGGACCCGTCAGATCCTCAACGACGTCTCTTTCCACGTAGACAGCGGGCAGATCATGGGCATTCTGGGTAATTCAGGTTCGTAACGCAGGTCGAAAGAGTAAAGTGTTGTCATAGCTGCTCCCCCCCACCCACCCCATCAGATCTGGAAAAAAAATTAGACAAACTCAAAGTCAGTTTCCAACGTAATCTTGGAATTATGTCATTTTTATATTCCGCTGTCATGTAAGGGAAGTGCTGCTCTGTTTCATCTCAATTTTTAATAATATGAAAAGACAACATGACCACTTGGAGGAAGGAAAAAAGCTACATTTGTCTTTCATTTTCACCCCCAAACTGATACTTTGTTTCTTCTTCTTCTTCTTCTTTTATTGCCGTGCAGCTCGTCATGAGGGCTTCATGCGTTTTTCCCTGTTTTCCAGGAAAGCTAAACTACCAAAAGTAGTTGAAACTAAACAGAGATGTGTTAAAATGAGAAAATGTCAAACTAATCAGTGCATTAGCTTGAGATTTATGAAACTCCTACCACATAAGGTTAATTGGAAGTTGGAATCTCTTCGCTAAAACACAGAGAAACGGTCTTGTTCCCTTTTCAGTTTCTGAACATCAGGAACAGAAATGAGGGATTGAACAGGGTGCAGTTCATTCCTCCAGCTCTGGTTGTGCCAATAAGCTCGAGTCGTGCATCAAATGAGTCAATTTGTGTGTGTAGTGATTGTCCTTGATTGTGTTTTAATTCTGCATCGTGAAGGCTCGGGGAAAACAACACTGCTGGATGCCATTGCTGGCCGGATCGGGAGCTCCGGCACCCTGCTGGGTGAGGTCTTCATCAACGGCAGAAAGCTGAAGAGAGAAGAATATCAGGACTGTTTCTCCTATGTCTTGCAGGTAAAAACAACAAAAAAATCAGATCATGCCATTTCTGATGACTGAATTTAAACTGGAACCTGCATTTTTTTTTTTCAAAACGAGCCTGGGGAAGAGGAAACCTCAAACATAAACATTTTCTCTCTGTTGTTAGTTCACTAGAATAAACTACAACATGTCAAATCTGTCCGGATTACACTAAAATACCAATAATACATATCTTTTTTTCCATTAACTGATTTTGTATTTGGCTCACACTTACTTTAAATGAAGGGCATGTTTTCATGTTTTTCTGATCTTGAACAGTGGTGCGTATATATTGACCTCTGTGTCACAGACTTATTAGAAATAGGAAATGTTGAATTACTAACAAAGTGGTTCACAGACACTCTGAATAACTTTAAAAGGTAAAATAAGAATCACCAGGAGGACCAATATTTGTAGCATTAGTGATTTTCCTCAAGTATTTTCAGAAATGTAATCAAATAAAAGGTTCTGCATGTTACCTGAGTAAGAGCTGAGTTTATTCGGGGACTTTTTACGCAACTTTACCAAGGAGGATTCTGCACCGCCCCACCACTTTTAGATCACAAACACAAAAGACACTCGCACTTTGGCAAAATCTCCAAACATGCCGCCCTGCCCTCTTTATGAAATTAACTTAAGACCCTTGATAGCCTCCTCACACACCTAATCTCTCAATGAGAGGTGCTCATGTGTGTCCAAAGCTTGAATTAAAAACAGTAGTTTTAAAAACGGGCTTTGCTTCGTTTCAAATATCGTCTCCCTCCCTTCGCTGATAGCAAAGCTTTCTGCTCTCTAAGCTTCGTCATTAACTTCCTCCGTTAAGCCGCAGATGAGGAGGTGATATGAGCTCCTGATATTAAAGTCATTCGGAGGAGACAATAAGGAGGACTGGGACCGGGTGGCGCACCATGTGTTAATTGAAGCAGGTCCGGCTGCTTGAAGTGTGTGTGTGTGTGTGTGTGTGTGTGTGTGTGTGTGTGTGTGTGTGTGTGTGTGTGTGTGTGTGTGTGTAGGTGTGTGTGTGTAACAAGGCTCTTTGCATAGGAAAACTTGAATATTTAAATATATGTGAATGATCATGAACAGATCTGTTGACTTTTAAATGTTTATTCTGTTCCATAAAAATGTCCTTCTTCGGGACCTGAACAGGGACATGAATATTATAACACGGTTTTAACTCCAAAATTTTGATCGTTATTGAGACGTTAAGTAATATATTTCATTAAATTGAGATAAGGGGTAGGATTAAATAAGTGTTCATGTCTTCCTGCTCCTTTTTCAAACAGAAATGTGGTGGTAAACAAATTATTTTGTTCTCGTTATATATGCACATATTTTCTCTGTCCTACTGATTGCTTGTTTTCTTGTTTAAAAAAACTGTTTGAAATGAATAAATCAGATCAAAATCAAACCATGAAAAGCCATGAAATGTTCATCCAAGTGCACGTGATGTGAAAATGTAGAGCAAATTTGACATATAGTTGATGCACATTGATTTATTTTGTATTCTCTAGATGTTTTCCACTGAAAGTTACCAGAAGTTAAAATTAACATTGTTTTTTTTTCTTTTTCTTTTTGGTCTGTTTTTCAGAGTGATAACTTACTGAGTTATTTGACAGTGGAGGAAACCCTGACTTACACTGCCCAGCTGGCCCTGCAGAAACACTCAGTGGAAGCCATCAAGAAAAAGGTTTGGGGGGATTTTCTCCATTCTGTCCACTGTTACGGGCTTCTCTGCTTTGAGCAAAACGTTCACACAATTTGTGAGAAAGCTAAACAGAGAAGTTTCGCTAATGATTGTACGCTCCTGTTAGAGATCAACTCTAATATTCTGGCATTTCTTTTTTATTTTTATCCAGAGAAAAGCAAAACGTAGTTCCCCTTTAATAAACGAAATTATATCTTACATTGATAATCAGTCTATCTCGGTGGTAATTACTGCTCGCCGACCTTGACCTGTGGTCTGCCTGTAGGTGTTGGCAGTGATGGCCGAGCTGAGTCTCAGTCACGTGGCGCACAGTGTTATTGGAGGTCGAATTTTCCCTGGGATCTCTGGCGGTGAGAGACGGCGGGTCTCCATCGCCAGCCAGTTACTCCAGGATCCAAGTAAGTTTCAGCTACAGACATTTTAGCCATGAAAAAGTTTTCCGAGGTCTGCAGCCAGTTTAAATCGTGACTATGAAATAAAACATAAGATGGACATTATTCTTCAAATTGTGAATCTCAGATCCATTGAAATGATTCACTAAAAAATGTCTAGGCCTTGGGGGGGATATAAAAAGCCATACACATTTTTTTTTTTAATGTAATGTTCAACAATGATTCAATAACAACAAGGCTAACCAGTTTGTTTCAGTAATATATTCTCCATCACATTTTGATAATTAACTAAAGATTTTTGTCAGTTATCTGTTAGCTGTGCTAAATAAGCAGTTGATATGTTTATCTGGACATTATTATTGATAATACATTAACTTACTAAAATTTAAAAACAGTCCTAAGAGCTATAAAAGAGAAAACACTCTTTTGTAGCAAGAATGTAAGCTTGCATCCAACTTTAGCTACTTTAGCATCAGTGCTAATGCTAAAGCCGAGCTTCTTAGCAAGTTTAGCTTCTTTATCCTGAGACTGTGATTACCAATGAACTACACATTTTAGTTGCTGTTGGTAGAGAAAATGTGTTACCGGACTGCTAAGAGAGATTTTAAAAATGTATTACTATTTAAGTTACATTGAAACAGTAACTGAAATAGTTACTATTTCAATTACTAGCAACTAGTACAGCAACAAAATTAATACAGAAGTCAGCTTAACTTGCTAGCTTTGTTTCTGAGCTAATCTGACTTTTAATGTTGCTTTGATAGTAATGGCTTTGTCCTCCCTGTATGAGTTTTGAAGGCTCTCAATTCTCCTATCAATATTTGGGACATTTATTTTATTTTCCATGATGATAAACCAGCAGTGAGTCACTGCCTTAAAACACATAGACTGTGGTTATGACCTTTAGTTAACTTAGGCTTTGTAAATTAACCTATTGGAAGTTTATATAGCCATGACATAATTACCTGGGATTTTCCAAATTGTTTAAAAGTATAGTAATCTTAGGCTAAAAACGACTTTAGAATAAGTTATTTAATAAAGATTCTTTCTTTCATTATTCCTGCATTCAGTAAATAGTCATTCTAACTGAACTAAAAAAAGAAAAGCTTAGTCAGTAAAAGAAAAAAACAAATCTTAAATGAAATATACAGACACAATTCATCTGGAAATTACAAGAGAGAACCGAGCAAGCAGGACAAGATTTGAAAATTTCAGGCATTTCTTTTACGTTTTTCAGTCGCACTAAATGCATAAACTACAAAATGCAAACAAGACGGAGCGCAAAACTTTAGTGTGAAATGACAGGAGTTCAATGAATATGACCCGTATCTCACCCCAAGAGTTTCAAAATCCCCCTTGAATAAAACAAAAGAATCTAAATGGTGCTGAGATAAGGAGAGGACAGAAAAAGGGATGGGGTGATTGAGAAGAGTATTAAAGGACCGGGTTATCACACCATGAAGGGAATGAGCACAGGCCCACCTCTGTATGCGTGTGTGCGTGTGTGTGTGCTCCTCCTAGGTGCGCTTTATCAGGTCTGTAGTGCTCCAGGGAGGACTGAGGGTCTTAGTCCTCATTCAGGATTAACTGGCCATGAACACACACACATTCCCAGAGAGTCACAGTCGGAGTAATGAGAAGTTCCCATTCGCTGCCTCTCCAATCAACCAGGAAATGAATTAATCTCACAATTAAAGCATCTACTAATTCCACCCTGCTTTCATAATGCAAAGAGGCAATCTTTTAATTGTTCTAATTAGAGTAATTAACTAAAAAAAAAAAAAGAGTGAACTCACTTATCTTCCCAAGTTAAGTTGCACCTACAGAGAGGTCTGCAAGTGCCACTTTATAAGAAGTGCTGTTGAAAGTTTTCTGCCTGGGTGAGGAGAAGTTGGTGTCCACTGTTTAACTTGTGCCCAGTGTTTCAGTGCGTGACAGTGACGAGGTCACTGGGATGGTGTTCCTGCAGGGGTCATCTTACTGGACGAGCCAACCACTGGCCTGGACAGCATGACGGCCAATCAGATCGTGGTGCTGCTGGCAGAGCTGGCTAGGAGGAACCGCATCGTCATAGTAACCATCCATCAGCCACGCTCAGAGCTCTTCAGGGTGAGTTTTGGGATGAAAAGCAAATTGAAAATCAGAAATCCTTTGTCTAATTTAGAAATAACTCTGATGAAGACAAAGAGGGCATCCAAATGTTTGCTCCCATGAGGTTTAGACAAAACAAAGTTCCTGTTGACCTATCGCATAAAATCCAATAAAGCACACTGACGTCAAGAAGTAAAAACAAAAATAAATAAATAAAAATCAAGACATTGAAATACTTTTGCATGAACGTTAGCTGTGAAGGTAATCTGTTCTCGTGCGTGTTGACCCGTCAGGTGTTCAGCAGGATTGCCATCATGAGTCGGGGAGAGCTGGTGTTTTGTGGTCAGCCGGAGGAAATGGTGGATTTCTTCAGCCAGTGTGGATATGAGTGCCCAGAGTACTGCAACCCTTTTGATATCTATGGTATCAATAACACAGAGCAATACAGCACAGTGACAGAACACCGCACACGTACAGCAGCAGACGTTATAAAAACTTATATGATGCCAAACAGTCGACTTCACCTCCGTGGACACGCGCAGCAGTGAGAGGGAGGCCGCCACTTTCAGTCGGATGCACGAGATCACATCGTCCTACCAGAGGTCGGCCATCTACCAGAACATGCTGGACAAAATGGAGCAGAGCCTGCAGATCTCAGACAAACCCGCCATCCCCTTTAAAAACAAAGAGTCGCCCAACTGCGTTGCCAAGCTTGGAGTTCTGGTCAGGTCTGTCGTCTTCATTGCAGCTTGAACCTTTTACAGCGATAACGAGTTTTGTGTTTGACGTGTGTGTGTGTGTGTGTGTGTGTGTGTGTGTGTGTGTGTGTTTATGTTTAGGCGAACGGTCCGAAACCTCTCCAGAGACAGGATCGGTGTGATCATGCGTCTGTCCCAGAACCTGATCTACGGTTTCTTCGTGGCCTTCTTCGTCATCCATCTAGCCATGGATGTGACCAAGGGTGCAGTGCAGGACCGGATAGGAATGATCTATCAGTGCGTGGCCGCTTCGCCTTACACTGGCATGCTCAATGCTGTTTCTCTCTGTGAGTTCACCGTCCACCATATTTGCACGTTCTAACACTCGGGGTTTATTAAGCGTTGTCAGCAAGCCCACAATTTTACTTATTACGCTGCTTTACAAAGCTTATTTTTCAGTTTTTGTCATGGTGCAACAAGCTTTGATGGATTTCAATGGGATTTTCTTTGACAGACCAACATAGAGTGGTACATAATGGTAAAATGAAAAGTATTTTAGTTGTGCTGCGCTATTATGGGTATTATGTTATTGTCCTCCAATTTTTTGAGTACCACTTTATGTTGGACTGTCATATGAAAAGTAAACAGGTCATTGTTTGATCCAGCTGTTGGGCACAGTGCCCAATGTAGCTGAGTGATGTCTTTAATGTGCTGCCCAAACCAAACAAGGCCTAAATCAGACTCCATGCTGACCAGTGACAGATCCACCAGAAGACAGAAACTTGCCATCATCCCATTTGTACATCAAGTTACAACACTTGCAAACAAGATGGCTGCAGAGCTAAATCTGGTGCTGCGAGACGAGGTGGAAGGTAGATGTACAAAGTGTTGTGTGGCGGCTTGCTCGAGGATATTACTTTGGCGCTTCGTGCTGACAGCAGCATTCACAGCAGTGCAGCTTCTGTTGCTGCACAAACTGTTCAAAAGCGGTGCAGAGAGCATGTCAGAAACGTCAAAGTGCTGATTTATCCTTCAGATTCCCCCCCCAGAGTACAGACAGATTGAGCGACTGTGGGACGTTCTGGACAGATAACTTAGACCCGTGCAGTTTCCAGCACTGCGTTTTCGTGCCACGGGGTGACCTCAGAGGTCATTCCCAGCTGCGGTTCAAAGTCAGGCGTGAACCAGATGGCATGACAGACTGAAAAGGTGGATCCTTTCTCGGTGATTTATCTCAGTTGTTTGGCTGATTGTGTTTAGCTATTCATGCTTAGCTTAAAGGGAAATGAACCTTTTCTTCCAACAAAGTTCACTGTGGTTCAGCGAACCACAGTGAACTTTAACCTACAAACCTACAATGTCGGTATGGTCTAGTCTAGATTATGTTTTAGCTGAAGTACGCGAGTCTTTCTGGGGTTAATGTGTTCAAGACTTCCTCAATAAAACAAACAAAAAAAAAAAGGTACAAAACATTCTAGTTAAACAACTTCTTGTTTGTGTACAATTAATCTTAAATTTCACATCACTTATACAGAGTTATCTAAAAAGCTCTATTTGATTGGTCCAAGTATCTGCTGCTTATCGTCTGTGTCTAAAACATAAGCTTTAGGGCTGATAAAGAGGATAAGAGGTATGATAAAACGATGAATTGAGCAGGAGTCGCAGCCAGAGGTAGTGACTGCTTTATCAGACTGACCTTGAAATTTGCTGATAAGATATTACACTGAACTGCATGTTGTAAAGTAATGGCTTTTCCCGAGTTAGGTGGACTGAGTTCTTGGAAGAGAATTCAGAATCGGTTCGATTTATTAAGGGGAGTTTTGCACCGTCAGACAATTAGTTATTAATAATGGAGCAAATGACCAACAATAAAAGTAGGCAAAGAGAGGCTATAAATGTTTTGTTTTTTTCTTTAGGAATCTTGTTCTTACTCAAATGTCCCCGCTCTTCCCCCATTTTTGTTTCCGAGACTTTTTGGAGGGTCAGTATCAGAGTATCTGACCGAACTCGGTCATAAAGTTGTCACTTTGTTGTTGTTTTCCCTCCCAACAGTCCCTGCGCTGCGAGCCATCAGTGATCAGGAGAGCCAGGACGGCCTGTACAGTAAATGGCAAATGTTCTTGGCCTACATCGTCCACATCTTGCCCTTCAGCGTCCTGAGTGTCGTCATCTTCAGCTCCTTTATTTATTGGTGGGTAGCTGCAAATGAATCCTCATCGAGCGCTCAATGAGTGTTGCGTAAAACAAGCAGCAACAAAGTGAACTCTTGATCCTGTCTGTTTTTCCCCTTCTCAGGACGGTGGGGATGCACCCGGACACGTGGCGCTTTATGTGTTTTACTGCTGTAGTTCTTGTTCCCCATATAACGGGTGAGCTGATAAGATGATGCTTATAATTAGACATTTTGTCTTGCGTAGATATTTGCTCTAGAACATGTTTTTAGACCTGCTGTCTTCTCTGTAAAAGATAGAAATACGAATGCCTCTCAATTGATATTAATATCACTGAACAGTTTGTGTATTTTGTTAATTCTACTCGAAATGTGAGGAGAATGTTTTTTTTTTTTTTGGAGTTACACCTTTGTGCAAACAATGTCCCAAGACAATTCTTATACACTTAAGACGTATGTAAAATGAAGGTTATTATGTATATAACATAAACATGTGAAATTCATAGTATACAGTTGAAACTCGGTATTTGTAATGTAGCCTGTTTTTTTTCTTACTTTTTGACATTAAATTAGAGAAAACTTTTTCTGTTTCAGATCATTTAGGATTGGCAAAATTATTATTATTATTATTATTATTATTTGCTCAAATAAAAATAATTATTAATTAAAAGTAAAAAGGTAGATATTTTAAATATATATTTTTGCTTTGGTCTAATGCAGACGTTTACATAAACTTGGTTCTTGTTTTTCACATGTTTTCCTTCCACTACATTTTCCATTAATGTGCCTTAATTCAGCAATCTGTGAACACCTTGCTTCTTCAGAAATCACCGATTACTACTGGGCAATTGTCACTTCAGCAGTCTTCTACATGACTGTACATGCTAAAGCAACACATTTATGTATAGATTTACTTACTGTTTTTATTCTAATAGTCAAAGAAACAACATTTTGGGCTTGTAGTAGCTGCAAACTATTATATGAATTATCAGAAATAAACAACTGAAGTACAGCTTGGTTCAGATGAGAGAGAAAAAACATTATGTTTTGACAGGTGTATTAGTAATCTTGGGGTTTTATTAACAGTGCATAGATGTTTAAAATTGTACTTTTACCATTTTAAGCGACTTGTTTTCCTGTATGTTTTGAAACCTGTTCCTCAGGGGAGTTGCTGACCGTGGTGCTGCTGGGAGTGGTCCAGGACCCCAACATGGTCAATACTGGGATGGCTTTACTTAACATTGCAGGAATCCTGGTGGGATCCGGTTTCCTCAGGTTAGACGAACCACAGCGGAACCTCGTTTTTTAATACATCTTTAGCCAAATCCTTTTCAGAAACGGATAATTGATTTGTAAGTTTTAAACGTGGTTGACTCTTCACGTCCACAGAAGCACAGAGCAGATGCCGATGGTATTTCAGTGGCTCAGTTACCTCACCTTCCAGAAATACAGCTGTGAGCTTCTCGTTGTCACCGAGTTCCTCAATCTGGAGTTCAACTGCAGTAAGTTTCTTTTTGGGGGTCTTTTTATTGACAGATTTGATTTAAAAACACATTATTTGTGTTTCCTAATGTTTCCTAGACAGATAATGTGCTTCCCTTTCCTAACTGAAAGCATACAAACATTTTACATGTATATGTTTTGTTTTTTTTTGCTGATCCTTTGCAACTTTGATATTTGATGTTGCAACTGATAATCAGTTCAATGTTCAAGGACTCTTGAGTTGAGCGCAAAGTAACATCAAGGTTCTTGTCGGCTTGTTTGGGGGGAGAAAAAAAAAATCGATCTGAGTTTGATCGTTTCTGTTTCGTATTATTCCAGACGGAACCAAATCCTTACCAGGAGGCTGTGTGGTCACTTCAGGGGATCAGATCATCGACATGGGCTACCCCGGTGCTTTGTCGCGGTACACACTAGACTTTGTTCTCCTCTACTCCTTCCTCCCTGCTTTGGTTGTGATGGGAATGATCAGCTTCAGGATCAGGGATAAACTCATCCGCCACTAAAAAGAAAACATTCCCATTAACGTGCCTTAATTCTGGCATGTCGGTCAGTTCTTCTCTGGTTCGGTTGTTGTATTTTGTAGTTTACTGTAACTATGCAGTCTGCTATAATGTAAAAATGTGTTCTACAAAGTACAAGAACTTTCCGATAGATCATGACTAAGATGGCTGATAAGTTTAAATGATCTTACTTTAAAGTTGAAAAACATGAAACAATAAAGACACGTGAATTCAGCATTTGCTCATTTTAAATGTTCTTGTTAGTCTTCACATAAAACTTGCACATTGTCTTAGTATTTCTGCCAGCACTTTAGATTTTTTTAAGCTAGACTTATATATTTCTTGAAATTGTGTATTACCAATAATGAGTTTTGAAACAAGCACACTAATAACCCCAACATTGGACACAGAAAAGACAACACTGGTTGAATATCACTGTAAATTTTAAGTTATAATAATTATCTAATACTGTCAGGAAAATATGATCAATAGCTTTTTCCACTTACTGAAAAGAATGTTGTGAAAAAAATGGAAAGTTGTTGTAAATTGTTTTTAGAAAAACTCATTTTAATAGCAGCAGCTTGAACAATTCTTACATTGCAAAGAAAGAAAAGAGCCTGTAAAAAAAGTTAAATAAATACAGCAAAAAATGTTTATTATATGTACACAATAAAGTGTTGTATGTTTGTAACAAATGTATCTCTTATGTCTCCAGCTGCAGTTCTTTCCATGACTTCGCTGCATTTCTTTTGTACTGCTCCAACTCCTGAAAGACAGATTCAGACAAAACAAAAATACAGACATAATTGTTTGTTTTCGGAAGAAAATATGGTGTGAGGTCATATTAAAAATATGCATTTTTCTCTCATTTTCTGACTGAAAATGAAAAATAAACACATATTGTTCAATCCAGCAACATGTGATTCACTTAAAAAAATGCAAACAACGCAAAGATAAAAAAAAAAATCAAACTGATGGCATTAATATGACTTAATTTTACTTCTATTTTCTTTTTTTTCATATTTTAAATCTTTTGAATCTGTTTTAATGCTTTTGCAAAATAAGTCTTGTGTATTTTTTTTGCTTCAGCAACTCAGCTCAGCCACATCCTGACTGCTTCAGTTCCAGAAAATAATGAGCTGTTATCAGGTAAGAGTCAGTCGGAGATAGCAGAGTGTGATTCATGCAGGTTACTGCAGTTCAAGTGCCACAGTGGAACCATGGCATGTTGACAAGAAGATAGATAGTATCAGCTTTTACAACTATAGGATATTATTATGGTTATGTTAATGAAAGCGTCACCGAAAGGCCAGGCTACTGCAGGGCACAAGGTTACTTTAGAGCAGGGGTCCTCAAACTTTTTCCTGCGAGGGCCACATGACTGTTCCCTTTTCTGGTCGGGGGCCGGTCTTAGTTTTTCGAGAAAAGTTTTGTCGAGGGGGCTGGGGGGAGGGGGGATTGGATTACTGCCGACGACATATTCGCGTTTGTAGATAGATTTTTACCCAGAATGCAAATGGAAAAAAACCGTGAGCGAAACGGTGACTGGTACTGACTAGTATATATTCCATTGAGGGAAACTAAGTTTCATATCTGCTCAAGAGTCCCCCTGGTGGTTGAAGAAAAATCCACATATATATGAAAAAAAAACACTGAATGCTCTCTGGTATTGTTCAGGGGGCCGGACCAAATGAGGAGGCGGGCCAGATCCGGTATTGTTCAGGGGGCCGGACCAAATGAGGAGGCGGGCCGGATCCGGCCCGCGGGCCATAGCTTGGGGACCCCTGATTTAGAGCACTGGCAGATGGTGCGATGTGTAGAAAAGACAATAAATCTGAGTCCTATTCATGTTAACTTAGTGGGGGGGAAAAAACACCTACAAGAGAACCTCTGAAGTACACAATCTAACATCTGGATGTTTGTTGGTGCTATCGTAAATAAATATTAAAACAGTTCCAGATTATTTTTATACTACAAAGCGAGTAAAGATTCTGTGAAGTCACTGAGTAAATGCGCCTCACTGTATAATTTAAAATGCATGTGCATGTTTTTCTTTAACAAATTAGTTTCTTTCTTAAAATACAGGGTTGTGTCTTAGTAGTTATGGTATATATATATTTTTGTGATCATTTTTTGTTTTACTGCTTTTTTTCTATAATTGATGCCTCATAAATATGTTTGAACTTGAATCTTTTGCTTTACTTCCCATTGTTGATGGTCTTGAATTAAACTTCCATTCGTAATGATGTAATAATTAATGTTCAAACCCTGGATATTTTAGTTAAGATAAATTCTCCAACTCAGCATTAACGTCTTATATTTTATTTAAAGTAGAATGTGCCACAAAATGAAGAAATCGTGCTTAAAAGTCTTAACCTCGTAAAACGAGGAGAATTAAAAACAAGCAAGCAGAAAAGTCAAGTTTATTAAAAATTAAATGCTGGGAAAAGTTTATGTTTCTGAGACTTCGTCTGATAGATATAAATATAATTTCTTCTCTAAATATAGCCTTAATAACTAACATCAAGTCATACCTGTCTTCTAATTTATTTATATAAATTCTTTTGTTACTTATCGTCTATACCTGCTTTCCTTGATATGGATTACAAAGTTCAGGGTCACAGAGACTGACCCAAACATTGCCCGCTAGCTACAGTTGTCTGTCTAAAATCAGTCTTATTCAGTGTTTTGCTGCAGTAGCAACAACCATTTAACTCTGAAGAACCAAGTGTGTAAGCGTTAAAAGTGTGTTACCTGATCCTTTTGAGCTCGCATTGCATCAATTTGAGGCTCACTGTACTGTGGGTATTTGGCTGGATCCTTCAGCTCTCTCTGCTCAATGTGGCTCTGGGAAAACAAGATTGTTCCCATGTACTGAGAGCATTTATGTTCTTGTATGTGAGCTGAAACAGAGAAACGTGCCTCTACCTCACTGGGAAAGACTCGCTCGTACACTTTCTTCCACAGATCCTTTGGGTTTTTTGCGTGTAGAGACGTTATGTCGATGTCAGTTAAAGGAGGCGCCCCTGAATATCAGGAAACATTATTTTAAACACAATATCTCACAATCCTCTGCATCCAAACAAACTATACAGTTCCTTTAAAAAGTACAGGTGCATACCAATAAATTAGAATATTACTGAAATATTATTTAATTTAGTAGCTCAGTTCTGTTTGTGGTTCTTATGTGGCAAATCTGAAAAAGTTCATCTGCGGATGTTTCATCATGTAGTGTTTGTTGTTGTGGCACAGAGCTGTTCGCGCGCTGCTGTCCCGGTTTATCTTAAATGTGTTGCGTCATTTGGACGGTAGGTGGTGCTGTTGCTCACCTATTTGGCTGAAAGAGTCAGAGCCAGCTGGGATGATGAGAGGTTTACCTGAGTCACAGGACACGGTTTTCCTGATTGTAAATAAAGAAAAAAGACAGAAAAAAAAATGAACTCAAGAGATGTTGCTATTATGATTGTTCTCTGTTTTCATTCATTTAACAGATGACAGATAATTACAAATCTAACATATACAACTAAAAAAAAGAGTTTGAACAAAAACTAAATGAGAGTTTCATAAAAGGATATGAACTGCTGCAGTAGTTGTTGATAATTTCAGAACTTCTGAGTTTATAATGATTAGAAAGTTACTTAAAAGCTTCACATCTAAGTTCTTCATATCCTACAATTTCATACAAAATTCCTCTTAATGAAATCTCTTTGCATTAATTGGTTGTTTGCTCCTCACCCTCTGTCCAGACCAAACGCCAGATGTGAGAAGAAGCTCTTGGTTTTAGACATGAGGCTCTCTGATTTAATGCTAGTGAACTAATATAAAGAACAGACAGAAAAAAAAAACAGAAATGAAAGCAGTTTAACAGCAGATGGAAATTAAACTGCATTTGGATATATATATATAGCCTGCTGGGGTTCACTTACAATCAGAGAGGCTGCGTAATAGTGGGCAAGGAAACGGAGGGTTTTTCTAATAACTTTCTTCTTCTCAGAGTCAAAGTCCTGCAACATAAATCAAAAGACTTTCACTTTAAATCTGTCACACAAAATAGACCAGACTGCCTGTAATTTATCAAGAGATGACATTTCCACTGTATGCACACACCTCACTTTAACTGAAAGCAGTAAACAATAGACGTACCGTCCAGGCAATGTAGAGCAGTTTTAATTGTGTGCTTTACCTGAAAGAGGTCATATTTGCTGCCGATGATGAGCAGTGGAACAGGAAAAGGACTGATCAGCTCCCTGTCCTGTTGAAAGATGAAGTTAAACCTTCAGAGGTACATATGAAAATAAAATATACAAACATAAAGTAAATAAAAATGGAAAACCACAATGATCTCCGCCCGTACTGGGTAATCTTTTGGTAAGACGCGAGCTGCTGGGTGAGCAGCCTTCTGCCGTTTGCCTCCAGGTTTGGACTTCTGTGCCTCAGAAAAGATTTTTTCCACATGAGCTTGAGCTGCAGTCAGAAGTTTCTCCATGGTTCCCCACAGAGCGTTGGGTTTGGACAGGTCCAGTACGAGCACAACAGAAAGAGACCTGAGAAAAACCGCGCATTCAGGGACACGGTGCCTCTTTACTACCAAGAAGCTTTAAGTACAATGATGAGGCAATAAGTGACCGACCTTATACTGTTTGGAGTGATGGGGATCTGGACAAGGTCTGAGAGAGAGGTTCCCCCTCCCAGTTCCCACAGGTGGGCTATATCTTTGGGCTGAAGGAGGAAAGAGGAGGTCCACTTTCACAGCAGGCAAGTAACTGGCTATCTATAAAGACTTACATGATTTCTACATTACAAGTGAACTAACTACGACTGAAAGAACATCATGCTAATGCTAAACCACCCCCATTGAGAGAAAAAAAAAACAGGTTTATACATAACAAAAGTTCAAGAGGAAACATTTTTTAGCCTTCTCACTAAAAATTCCCTTTAGTTTGTATCATAAATACATTTAAAATGAAAAATAAAAAAATAGTTTCAAATTCACATTTAAAAAGTTTTAAATTAAGTTAGATTCTAGCTCAGTTTTACATCAGCTTCCTTGTTCGTGCTCCAATCACTTGCTGCCGTGAAGCCCTGATCAGTGCTTATTGTGCTGGATTACAAGATCAACTAAATACATTTGAACTGCTTCAAACATACCATTACTTAAAGAATATAAGGAAGACTTTTTAAGATGCCAATCTTAAAAACAATATTTGTGCTTCTTTAGCCTATTAGAAATCTCATG